ACCTCATTCTTTGAGTTCAGACTGTTGCTGAACCTAGACCTGAACATCTGCAGCAACCCCACATCATAGACCTTAGTTAAATCCAGGTGGACACTTGTTTTTTTTTCTTTTCTTTTTTGGTTGGGCAGTGTCTGTCTGTCAGAAGGGTACAAAATAATTTCCAAGGCATTAGACATACTGTACCATGGAGCACTGAGGACAGTCATCGTCAAATGGAGAAAATATGATACAGGAGTACATTACCAACAACTGGTTGCTCATCCAACATTGATGAAAGAAACAAGAAGTCAACTGGTCAGGGAGGCTGCCATAGGCCTACAGCAGGGCTATTCAACTGGCGGCCCGCGGGCGAGTGACCAAAGTTCGGCGAGCCAATTGATTTATTCATCTCTTAAGCCCAAATCCCTGGTTTTCTACTTTGATTACTCTTAGTTCTTTTAGATAAACATAGACATGTTTGGTATCTACAGAAACGTCAGAGTCATGGCTAGAAGCTGGTACAAACCATTTCTATAAACACTCAAGACGGTTAAAACTACAAGCAGTTGAAAATAAAAGGATGAAAGTGAAAATAAAATTGGTTTAAAAATTTGGCAAGTCAGAGATGTCAAAATACTATTTGGGTCTAATAGGAGGCATGATGTGTTCTTTTTGTTTTTGATAATGTTTAATTATCACTACTTTTATAGGGTTCTGTTTGTTGTATTCATGATTAAATGCAGCAAAATAAACTAATTCAAAGGTAACAGATCTTTTTAATACTTGGTTTATTTACATAATAACTTCAATTGCTGGATGTTCGGCTCCTCAGCTGTTGACCGGCAGTAACTGTGGCCCCCGGAGCARTTTAGTTGAATAGCCCTGGCCTACAGCAACATTAAAGAAGCTGCAGGAACTTCTGTACTGGCTGTGTAGTACATGTTACAATAATCTCCTGTATTGGCCTGAGCTGTGGGATAGGGTTATGCGATGGAAGCCTTTTCTTACAAAAAAAAGTAAAAAAAAAAAAAAAAAAAAAACACCAAAGCCCAAAAATGCATTTGAAGTCACCTACAGATATGTGTGAAAATGTGTAATGGTCTAATGAACATTTTGGTCATAATTCCATGTGATATGTTTGGCACAAACCCAACACTGCACAACAATGGTGGTGAAAGCATCATGTTTCAGGGCTGCTTTTCTTCAGATAGGACTGAGATGTTAGGCAAGGAGAAGGAATTGTGAACCAGTCAATCAGAGAGCTGAAGATGAAGAGTAGAGGTGGGCGGATCGATATTAAATATTGATAATATCGATAATATCRATACCAGCGCTGGTATTGATATTGAACAATGCTCATGTAAAAAGATCGATACTCAAGCTTTGTTCTTTCCCGCACACACTGACTGCTGCAYAYGYGGATTTTTCAAAGTCTACTCTCTGTCTGTAGTGCTGCACGGAGATTTTGTTTTAAGTTGTGTTGAATGATATTTTTTAGTCTGTTTATTTACATGAAACAGAATTG